AGGGGTGGGATTCTACCAGTTCTGTCCAGCTCTGTAGAGCAGCAGACATAGAACTGGTTCTATGTCAGCTGATGTTTTGGCCCACCTGCCCACCTGGGCTCTTACCTGACCTTTATTTCCTGCTTTTTCAAGCCCAGCTGCTGTGCGAGGCATAGCTTAGTTGAAAAAGCAGGAAACAAGTGTTGTTTCAAATGCTGCTTCTCTGCACTCAGCACTGGTAAGCTGTCCAGGCAGCAAGCTGATAATGATTTACAGGCGCACACAGCATGCAGGGAAGCACATCGTAAATCACCAAACCTCATAAATCACTGAACCAGTAGTTAACCCTGTCGGATCCCACCCCTGGATATTTCTATATCTTCTATTTAAGAAGTGTCATTTTGAAGAAGGTTGGATTCTGCTGAACTAAACCAACATTTTTCTGTAACTGCTGCAGGAAAATATTGTAGGGAAAGCTGAAAAATGCTTTATTACAGTTAACTAATCAATAGATGCTCTTCACTAGAAAGGGAATCTACTTTATTATAGGTTTCTCTTTGCTTCTTTATTATTCATGTTGTTTTAAGTAAAAAAAAAGTTAGAATAAACTTGGGATAGACTCTTTCTAATACCTTATTGTACTCAATAGATACATTGTATTCAGTTCCTTAAATCTTCTTCAAATTATCTATAATTTTCATTTCCATGTTAGTTGGTCACACTGCAGGCAAATTCTGTGTAGCCTGCCAAATAGATATTTTCAGCAAAAATGGCAGTGCATATTGGTTTCCATTTGATTAATGCACACTCCTATATTATATTTCATTTCGTTGATGTATGAACTGTTCATACAAGTATGAACCTAAAAGAAATTTTGATAGGATACATATAACAATATTACACTAAGCAAGTTATCTGCAGCTGTTTCTGTAGCATGATATTAATATACTGGCTATCTAAAATGTCTGCCAGAGTTCTTGTGTTATGTTGAGACAGGATCACTACTAGACTTTGATACAATACAAGAACCTTCTTCAACCATGGTGGCTTCCCAGGATTCACTAGGCACTGTGGTGTTGTGGTGCTGGGAATCCTGAGTGTTGAAGCCACATATCTGGAGGCACTAAGTTTAAGGAATATTATTGAACAACTGCATATATAGTAACCTCTCTGTTTCTAGTAGCTGTACAATTTCTACCATTAAACGTTTCTGTCCATATTATTTATTAAATCTGCATCATTCAGAAACAAGAAAGGATCAACATGAAGATAAAAATATTTGGTAACATTTGAATCAGGGCTTTTTCTAATTTTTTATTTCCTTTCTTCTCTTCTCCTTTTCTTCTTTCTATTTATCTATCTTTCTTTCTTTCTTTTGTTGGTCTATGCTACATTCATTCAGTTTAGTTATGGTAGTTAAAGTAACACCACTGTTTTGTTTTGTTGTTTTAAAAATAGATAAAATACACTGTAACTTTTTCATATCATTAGTTACAATTTTTGCCTGTTGATGTCCATATGAAAAGGCTTTCCTTTCACATTTAACAACAATCAAATGAACAGAAGTAAATTATTCTCCAGTTTTAACTTTTCCTCAAGATATCCATGCAGCTTTTGAAATTATGGGCAGTCAGTAGTTTAGAAAGAGTCCCTCTAGTGGTAAAATTGGAGAAATTTTCCTACTTCCTGAGGGTTTTCTTTATTCCTTGATTACTTGTAACATTTTGAGGCAGCAGGTTCTATCACTGAACCTTACTCTTCTAAATATCAATTCTGGAGAATCTGCATGTCATTGCCCTGGAAGAAATAATCTGAGGATAAACTGATGCGCTGAACAGCTGCAAAGCACATACTTCAATAACATATACACAAGATTTGTGTCACAGATTTGTGCTTGGATAGGATTCCAGAAAGATGCTTCAGAGAACATTAGCACCAGCCTGCAAATATTTCCTAAATTGGCTACTGCTTAGTCCTATTGTATGCAGCTATGATTACTTGAGCAGCAAAACACATTTGCAACCCTCGGCATCTCTAGTTGAAAAGTTTCAAATGATAATCCTAGTGTGAGTCGGTGGTTTGAATTAATAATACAGATCTAGGCTTTGGTGATTTTTTGTTTAGAACTAAAGATCATTCTGATCAGTGGTAGGATTCAAATTGTTTTACCATCGGTTCGATGGACGTGGCTTGGTGGGCGTGCTTTGTTTAATGCTGGCACGCAGCTTTCCCCATACCAGCTAAGACCTGCAGCGCCATTCAGCTGAGAGGATAAAGAAGAGAAAAGCGCAGGGACAGGTGGGAGGGCCTGAAGATGTGTCATCTAATTGTTCAGTCAGACAGCCTAGAACCTATAGAAATTATAGAAATCTAATGAATGAATGAGTGAGTGAATGAATGAATGTTCTGCTGTTGGCTTTCTGTAATTATTGTTATTTTGATTTAAGATATTAAATGTAAAGATAACTGCATAACTTAGTAAAGAATACACCACACCTCCCTGGAATGGGTTGTTATTTTATTGAGATATTTGGGAAATAATCAGAACACAACGCTCTCTCCAGAAACACCTGAACATAGTCTTACCTTGATTCTTTTTTTTTTTTTGAACAAATTTTATTGATTTTCCAAAACAATACACAGACAAACAAAACATAAAATATAATGACATAGGAATTTTTTTTTCTTAAAAAGCCAATACAACAACTTATTTAAAGACAGAATTATTCCAAGTTATCACATTTCCAAACAAGTACAATTTGATATATATATTTACCTTATCTGTTCATCTTCATATCTTATCCCAAACTTCTCTTTTCCTTCTATTTATTCAAATTATATCTCTTTAACTTTAGATTGTATACATTTTTTATATCCATCTGTCTTATACATTTTCATTATTCTCTTCCAATAAAAAAAAAAACAAGACATAAAACATAAAAACATAAACATCTTTTCTGAAAGTTGCTTGATCCCGGGTTAAAACTCATCGTACAGACACCTCTTCAAAAATCATGTTCCTTTTATATATCATTCCATATCTTATTACCATTTTCCATTTTCTATATAGCTTCTTCCTTTTTTTAACTCTCTTAATTTTATTCTACTTATCTCAGTTCAGGTCATAATACTTAACATTCTTTGTCTGTTCTCAACTATCCATTCATTTTTTCTCTTTAAACAAAACCTCTCCTGTACACTAATTAGAGTATGACGCCTTTAACTCTTTCCCCTAACCTGATAATACTTGATATCACACATAACTTGTATTGGGATTCTGTTTAGCACATCCTAAAGTCACACAATATATTATATAAAGAGAAAAAGAAAAATTTTAATCGTACCTATTAATACTTATTTATATATTTATATTTTAAACATTTTATTCTATAAATGCCTATAATAACACAATCTTATGTACCTTACAGAATCCCTTTTTCAATTAAATTTACCCATTGTCTATAAATAAATTTTGTTTCTTCAAATCTTGCTTCCCATCATTGAGACTTCTCACCCCTTCCTTTCTCCCTTGCTTATTCTTTTCCTTACCCTGTTCACCCCTTTGTCTTTCCACCTCCCTTTTCTTCTTGTGCTTTCCCACTTCCTGTTGTTTCCTAATCTTATATCCACCCTTCAACTCATTTTTATCTTTTTTGGTTGTTTTTTAAGTTTTAAAATCCCTTTTTCCTTTTCCTCTTCCTCCTTCTTCTCCCCCAATAGGGTCACATGTTCATCAAAAATAGTTCCTTCTTTGTCCCAATTATCCTGCTGCGCAATCAATTCTCCATAGGAATGCACCGCCATTTCTAGAGATTGAAAAAGAATGTCCAAGGTATCTTTCCAGTCTTGTTCTTCCTTTTTATATTTTAGATATTCAGTTTTAAATTCATCCAAAAGTGGTGCCATTATGAAGAGGAAAAAATTTTCCCAAAACAACCACCCGAGTGTTTTTAAACAAAGAAAAAAAAAGTTTCCCAAAAGATGCAAAGTCACCAAACAATCCAGATAAACTATTTCATTTAGCACTTTTTCCCTTCTTCCATTTCTTTTTCTGGGGTTGCTATTAAATCACAAAATTCCAATTATAATATGTCTTTTGAAGTCTTATTAATGTTCAAATGGCTCTTTAAAATTCTAGGCAGTCTGCTCTTTATTTTCAACTTCAATTTTTTTTCCTCTCCCTTCCCACTCACAGCAGAAGAAAAAAATTTCTTTAAATATTTAGAAATCCATATCCCTTTGGCATTAGCACAGTCTTTAGCATTTAGCATACCTTCAATGCGGGTTTCCGATTTCTCTCAAAGCTGTTCCGTTTGGAAGGAGAGTGAAAAGAAAAAAAGTTTTCCCTTTGATATCCACTCGCTGCTTACTCAGTCTGGGAACAATGTGTCTTTAATAGGTGTTAAATACCAGGATACTTTCACTGTTCCTTTGTCCCGGTCAGCAAAATCAGTTTCATTTCTTCACAAACCCCTCCAGCACATTTCTTTCCCCGGCTGGGCTCTTCTAAATGGCGGCCACAAAAGACCGCCGTTCAGTTGCCGTCGGAGAGGGAGATTTAGCCGGCTAGGGAAGAGAGATGCGATGTCTCTCGTCCCTGCCAGAACCCCCCAGTCTTCACCACCTTCTACAAAGGTGGCTTAGCCCTGAAGCCACGTGGCTCGAGGCACTCAGGCAGTGAACACAGGCAGAAACCGTGCAGTGCCACGGATTCCTGCCTGCACTGAAGAACCACAAGCCGGAAGTGTTACTTTGATTCTTTTGATGAAACTAACATTGTTACCTCAAAATAAATTAAGAAATAAAATACTGATGAAAATATTCAACTCTCCTTTATTGCTTTTTAAACTTCCTGCAGAGAAATACAGGCATAAGTAATGCAATGATTGAAACTAATGAAATATATCTTATAAAGCTTTGCTTTTCTTCTGGATGAAAGTCTTCCAAACATTTAAAATGGCAAAAAATACATAAATCACAGTTTTCAGCAGAACTATTGTCAGTGGAAAAAGAAGCATTTAAGTATCAGTACATCTTTTAGCTAGGGAAGAGGGTGAATTTCGACACTCTAGATTTACCTAAATAATATATTACGTCTGGCTGAATGAATAGTTTTGTTGCTGTGACCTATCACTGTGGATGGTGATTTTTCTTCCACCTGTAATTGACTTTTCAATCATTTCCAGAAGTCACTGATATATTTGGATGTTTTCCCTTCTGCTTGAAACAATTGTATGCATATTTTCAAAAGCTTTCATACTGTAAAAGATAGAAGAAAACAAAAGCTGCTGGGTTTTTTTTACACTTGGAACTTCAAGTAGACAAATCCTTCAGAACAGTGATGTAAAAATAAATTTATTGTTCATAGTGGTACTTCTACAGGTAGCCATTATTATATTGCAGGCTGTGTGAAGCTGGTTCAGTGCAAACCGTAATAATATACAGGTTCTTCCATAGGGAAAAAACCAGAGACAAATATAGTTGAAAATTTTGGATTTCATGTATACATATTTAAAAATGAACAAAATGATTATATATATTAAATTCATTATTAGAAAATGGGATAAAATCTATGAATTACCTAAAAGATCAAAATGCTAAGCATTCTAAGTTCTTGAACTACAAATTTTCTGTAACATTGCACAAAGTATTGAGTTGCCTTTTTAAGCTGGGGTTAATGGGATCAAATGTAATTTAAGTAACTTTTTAAGGTTCCATCTCAGCATAGTTGTGCCACTAGAGTTTGTATGCAGATTCAAATAATCAGTTAACATCAGGGCAATTTAGCCTTGAGATTACTGCAATCACTTTTCCAATTTGGATTTACTTCAAAGGTGCAATCAAGCAAAGTTAAAAATTGTAAAATTTTGGAGGATGATTGCCACTGAGAATGAAGTCATCATTGATAGTGGTGTCAAAGTCCATCATCAGAATTTTTTTTAGGATTGGTGCAGAAAAAATGACTGCAGGGAATAGAATAAACTAATTACTCGAGCTGGATTTATTCTAAATATTGAGCCACAATCCTTTTATTATTATCCTTACCCCTTTTCTGTCAGTATTTTTTAAAATATTGCCTTCTTAAATTAACTGAATTCATGAAAAGCAGTCTAATTTGGAGCAAAGTATGTGATTTTATATGGAAGTGAACTTCAACTACCTTTTAATATCCATCTTTCACCGTTAGTTCAGCTTTGCTGATTGCTTGGCCTAGTTCATTGACAGCCAGCACCTTGTATTGGCCGGCATCTGATGGTGTGACTCCAGGGATCACAAGGGAGCAAACCCCAAAATCATTTTTGCAGAAAAAAGCAGGATCCTGAGAGAGATTCTTGTTACCCTTGTACCAAGTGACCTGAGGGGCTGGATCTCCAGTCACAGCACAACTCATGTGACAATTAAATCCTAAATTCACCACATGTGGTTTCAGTTGGACAAGGAATCTTGGAGGTTGATTTCGGTTGATCCCCTTATATCTTGGAAGCTTCATTTCAGGTTTATCTGAAAGAAGTACAAAACCAGGAAAACAAAGGATTACATTAACAGCTAAGGATACTTATTTTTCATTGTTATTTCTATTTGCAATATTGGCTTGATAATGATGAATTACAATAAATTATCTACTATTTCTGATCTCATTTAGGAAAAATACTAAACCATGTAAGTTCATTCTGATATTATTCTATGTTCCAGATTGGAGATCATTGATCTGGGAAAGTGCTTAGTCACTTTGTACTGATGTTCCAGGAAATGTGGTCAATGATCAAAAGTTCTCCAATATTATGAAGATATCAGATACCCTAAACATGCCTCAGGAGTACTCCAGTCCATATTGCACATGATTTCATTTGTTATAATGTGAATCCAAATAATCCCAAGCCTGAAAAAAGATGCTACTTTTGGAGTCATGTTATAGATGAACTATTTAACAATCTGATACATTAAAGCAACAGCCTCACATAAAGATGCACTTTCATGAATAGAGATGCTGTTTTCTGAAGCATGCACAGCTCCTCAAACAATAGTTATCTATATTTACCATATTCTTTTTGAATAGTCCAAGGGTTCACTGTTTCAGAAGGCTTGCTGATCCCTACACAATTTTTTGCCAGAACTCTGAAGAAATATTCCCGACCTGAGACAAAATTTACAACTGTACATTTGTTGGTGTAAATATGGTCAGCCACCATTTGCCATGGTCCTTTTCTGGAGTCACATCTCATAACCATGTAGGTTATATTACTGTCTCTCTTTTCTGTGGGTGAGGGCTCCCATATCAGAGTCACCGTCCCAGGGACCTTCTCAATGAGTTGTATAGGGCCAGGAGACTCTGGAATATCTGCAAAATAAAACCAAAATCAGGAAGAATTTCTAAGTGCTTGTAAAGTGGAGCAATTTGATTATTTATTTATCAACAAATTTAGAAACCCTACAGAAACAATATTTAAGTATTACAGATTTAGAAACTATGTGGAAGAGAAAGAATGTAAATATATTGAAGAAAGAAGAGTAGCTCCATGGACTTCAGTCTCTCATCCTGAAAGGTCTCCTTAATGGATAAAAAAATAGTTCTGTTCAGCTGTTATGTCTTGTTTTTTAATATTTTAAATCCGTTGATATACTTTTATAAGTGTAAATGTGGTCAGCATGTATTTTCCATCTAATAAAGCCAGAGGCAAGGCATAGTAAAGAAGTATGACAAACTGGTTCTTATCAGTGGTGGTATTCAAATTTTTTTACTACTGGTTGTCTGGGCGTGGCTTGGTGGGCGTGGCTTGGTGGGCATGGCAGGGGAAGGATACTGTAAAATCCCCATTCCTTTCCCACCCCAGCTTTGTTCTCCTGTGTAGCGCAACAAAAAAAGACCCAGCTGATCAGCTGGGACTTCCATCACCTGGGACTCAGGAGGCACCGAATAGATGGGGGCAGGACCAACCGGATGTGGTATTTACCAGTTCTCCAAAATACTGAAAATGTCCACTATCAGTTCTCCAGAACCTGTCAGAACTGGCTGAATACCACTTTATCTACTCTTCTCAAGCAAAAGTAATTTACAGGAGGAATCTTTATTAATAGGATTAATATATACTATAAAGATGTTATTAAGAGGTGATGTCTGCTATGATTAAAATAGAAAATAAGGTCAACAGATAACTGTACTAAACTACTACTTCTCTTGAACATAGTAAGACAGGCCTTTTTAACTTTGTATATCTCAGATGGGTTGTTTACAAATCCAAAAATGCCCAGATAATGTGGACAGGAATTTCTGAGAGTTGTTACCCAAGTCCACATTGAAGATGCCAAATCAGAGAAGGGTAAATTAAAATTTTATTCCTATTAAAACATATGTTTCTGTACTACTTTTGCCTATAATATCTGTATAATGGACTATTTTCAAATGGCTTCAAACTGCTGCTTATAACATGCTAGCTCTTGGTTTTAATTAGTTACTCGATCACTTCATAAAAGGTAAGGCAACTAACAGTCTTAAAATCTTCATTGGAACCCTTTAGTATATTGCAGGTTCACCCTTCAAATCTAATTGAAAAGGGCAGAGGCTCTCTATAAGTTAGGCAATTTTAGCTTGAAGCTTCATATAGAAAGAAGCACTCGTGGGTAATGCACAGCTGATATTCTTCTTGTTGAAGGGTTGTTATTTAAAGAGTAGTTATGATTTTTGTTTTCTTTTTCAAGCACTAATGCCTTTGTATACAGAGTTTCTAATGGACAAGGGTGTCTACAGGATAAAGTCAAAAGAGTCAAGATGGTGACCACAGCCATGCAATTAGAGCTCCACCCCGTTTATGCAAATGCATATTATATTTAATAATAAATTAAGAATGAATATTAAAAATAGGCAGAACTTCAATTAGGGCCTCCTACTCAAGCAAGGGGTTGGAGTAGAAGACCTCCAAGGTCCTTTCCAACCCTACTATTCTAGGGTCTAGGTTCCAAATGACTAGTTTTCCAGGTAAGGTGATAGGCGCAAATGTAGAACTGTAGAAATGTAATTGCAGATTTCCCTGTATGATCTTTACCTTGAACTTGAACTCGAAAACTGAATGTTTCCTTTCTCCCATGCTCAGTTTGAAGGCTGATAGCATAATGTCCACTGTCAGAAAGCTCAGCTTCTGGTATGATGAGTTGGCTCAGTCGTTCTCTGAAAGCAGTTGTGGCCTTTACAGGCAGAGGAAGTCCATCTTTCAGCCAAATCACTTCAGAAGATGGAGATGCCTAATAGAAATGAAAAAGACATTAATTTTAAATTACTTTTAAAGTATATACATGGCAGTGGTATAAGTCAGCTTCCATGTAAAAGTACTATGTTGCTTCTCCATTTCCCCCCCTTATTGTAGCATAATAGCAGTTGATGACAGAAAGACTGGAGATATGATCCTAACTTTCTTCCATTCGTATTGACGTGATCTTATCAGTTTGGCTAAGCCAAACAAGAACTTCTTAATTTACTTATATCAGCAAAGAAATATTCCACAGATAATATCTAGAATTCCAAGTAAACATAGAAGACATCATTTTTTAAAAAAATAATGCACACGCACATAATTTTATTGCATTGTCATAGCAGCTCAAGATATACATTTCTCTACTTAGAAGTAATTCCAAATTAGATAACCAAATGATTCTAAGTATTCTAGCTTTTCTTTCCTTTCAAGGATTATTATAAAGTAACATTTTTTTTAAAAAAAATATCCAAATCTCTAGATAGCTCCATTTACTGGTATATAAAAAAAAGTACAGAAACAGATTTAATACATATTGCTTGCAAAGGCTATACTTACTTCAAAAGGAATACGCACATGGATGGCATCCCCTGCTTTCACATTCATGAAACTTTCAACAGTATCCTTCACTAAGAACTTGGGGTTAACTGGAAATACATACATAAGTAAGTAAGTAAGTAAGTTTTGGCATCATATTGTTTAGTTCAGTACTGTAACTGCAATATATAAAATGCTCAAAACAACTCCTCACTCACCACTGCATATTCTATAGAACCAAGCTGTTTCATCATCTAAGAAGTATACATGCAGAACAGCTGGCTACCAACTTCTCAAATGGCCTAATATCCCATTTGATATTAATATATTTCCCTTGTACACTTGTTAAATATCAACAAGAAGAGCAATGCTGTCTTTTCTTCAGAGTCAAGTGCAGGCATTTGCAACAATCTCCATTAAAATACTTTCCACAGCTATGAATGATGATAATCCAATATATCTTGAAGGTTTCAAGTTCGGAAATACCCTAGATATTACAGTTGAACTAAATATGTCCCAAGTATTCTTTAGTTTCTTCTTCAATATAACTATGACATGTCTTTTCCAGTTCTCTCTGGATACAATGTCTTTTGGTTTTGGCTTTCTTTCAAAAGTCTTCTGTTTTTTTCAATAACGTTAGCCTTTTCTAGAACCCTTTAGAGTAACATCTATGATTTATCAGATTGTTTCCTTTTATCTTTCAAGTTCTCCAACAAAACCCAATTCTTTAATAATTGATTTACAGAACTATCCTTGGCTTACCTGGGCCTTCATAAGGTCTGACTTTTCTGTCCTTATCCTCATTACATTGAATCAAATCATTTCGTTCTCCAGCCTCTTGTCCACCTGTTAAATAACAGCTATATCATAGATTTCACATGCTTTGCTTTTTCCTTTTACTATTTTTGAACAGAATTTCATGTAAATAAAAGGAACAGTCATAGAATTTCATATAAATAAGGTATTCCAGAATTATCTCTATAAGTATTTAATTTCCAAAGCAGAATGTACATAGTTTGACTTACCAGAAGAAGGTACCGCCTGCACACAAGTATCAACTTCAACTGGGTCTCCCAAACCACCATCACTAATTGCTCTCACACGTACAAAATATGGCTCCCTGGCTTTTAATCCTCTAAATGTATATGCAGTTGTTTGTATTGGGACAGTATTACACTGAGTCCATTTCAGAGTATCAGAGTGTCGAATCTCAACAATATATCCTTTGACATAACTTTCTTCTGATGATTCTGGTTTCATCCATGATAAGGAGATACTACAGTAGTCAGTATTAACCACTTTTAGATCTTTTACTGGGCCTGGAGACTCTGGAAAAAGGAGTGTTAAAATGTTGATATCATTTCAGAGTTACTTTTTTACATTCTGTTTCCCATTGTTTCCTTTGCTTTATTAACTTTTTATGATACATTAGTCTACTGAAAACCAATAGGAACCCTTGTTCTTGATTCTTTCTTTTCCTCACCACAGAACATTTTATATGAACTTACTTTGTCCTACTGTCAATGGAATAGCTACTGCATTACAATTTCCTAAAAATCGAATATCACCCATTCAATAGAAGCCAGACAAATTCCATTTTATATATAGATCACCAAATAACTTACCTCATTATTTGGTATATCGTATTTGTTCAGTTCCTTTTTTAAAAGATAATCTTATTATATTTTTAAAAAAACTAACAGAAATTAATAATTAAATAAATAAGTTTTTTTAAAAGGAATTCATGAATGTGGTTAATGATTATCTTGTCCTTTGAGAGAATAGGAATGCACAAAATGGACAGGGTGTTTTTTTGAATATTATGTTTTGGGACGTGAATATATCCAGAATACTGAGAACTGTTTCAGAAAGGACCCTTCTATAAATAAATAACTATAAACTATTTTGGAATACTTAAACCAGCAAAGAGTGAGTTAAGGGAACTTTCTGGAGAAACACACAATGCTTTGGGAAGGGACATTTCATTTTACTACATAACTGTGAGAGAAGTTATCACATGCCACTACTTTGTATGAAATAACTTTTTCTATCCACATGCTATCTTTGCAGTTTCTCAGTGCCACTACTAATAAACTATTTATTGCAAAATGCTTACAGACACAGTTATAGGGGAAGTAGCATAAATATATATTGAATAATAAGCAAATAAATATAAGAGAGGAAGTAAACTACTTACTCATAGGATCTCGAGCATAAATAGCTTCTGAAGGTGCACTGGCCTCGCCCACTCCTGAGTTATTGATGGCAGCCACACGGAATTCATACTGCAGTCCCTCCTTCAAACCATTCACTGTATATTTCCTGTCTACAGCATAAATGAGCTAGTTTTATCTCATAAGCAATGGATATATGTATATTATTGCATTTGCAATTATTATCTTGATAACTTAGATAATTCTCTAATATTTGAAAATAATTTATGCATATACTTCATCTTTGCTTTGTTGTGAGGTTTTTGAATTTCACAAAGAAGAAAAAGCTGAGCTAGTAAGAAATATCTATATACATTGGCTTATGTATGAGATTGGGTTCCCAGCTGTTGTCCTAAAGGTGTCATTCTTTGAGTTCTGAGGTCAAAATGAAATATAACTCTTTTGTTATACAGAATTACAATTGTTCTGACCAGATAACAACAATATTCTATATTCTTTGTGTTTGATTGTTATGATCCATTCTGACCAAATTTCAGTGAATTTAAACCTGCAGAATAATAAATAAGGTTCTGCAGCATTCATAAAACATATATAGAAATAGAAGAATAATAGCAATCCAATTCTGTGAGTACTGAAATAGAAATGCAAAAAGAATCTCCATGATTGGAGGAGGGAGGAAGGCACTGTCATATAAATAGAAAATTTCTATTATGACTTTAACACATTATTTTTTATCTGCTGACCAATGATCTTCTGACTTTAAGATCAAATAGACCCAGCGATGTAAAAGGTGTCTGGGGAGTATGACAAAAATGGCAGAGAGAAAGTGTATCTTGGGACTGGGACTAATATATGATTGCAGAAATTGAAGAAAGTCAGAAACCACAGGTTGTGGATAAATATCACACACATACACACACACATCTCTGTCTCTATCTCAAATATAAATATAAATATGTATAAGTATAAGTAAATGTGTGTGTGTGTGTGTGTGTGTGTGTGTGTGGCATTCGGCTTTCCTCGGGTATTTTCCCACGTCATAGTAGTTGTGCTTTTAAAGTTGTAGTGACGTTTCAGCAGAATCTCATCTGCCATCATCAGGCTTCTGTATGAGATTCTGCTGAAACGTTGCTACAACTTTAAAAGCACAACTACTATGACGTGGGAAAATACCCAAGCAAAGCCAAATGCCATACATGTAAGTACCCACGAAAACTTAAGAAATATATATATATATTCTAACTTAAGAATATATAGTTGTGCTGTAGTTGTGCTTTTAAAGTTGTAGCAACATTTCGGCAGAATCTCATCTGCCATCATCAGGCTTCTGTATAGAGAAGCTTGATGATGGCAGATGAGATTTTGCTGAAACGTTGCTACAACTTTAAAAGCACAACTATAATGACGTGGGAAAATACCCGAACAAAGCCGAATACCATACATGTAAGTACCCACAAAAACTTAAGAAAACAAATATCAGACCTCTATGGGGTGGAAATAAACAGCCACACCAAAACCTATGAGAAGCTGGAAGTTAAAAGAGCATGAATACTATGTGACCTCAAATTCCTACGCAGCTGCAGAGACAACAATGCAACACCAACCTGCTTCAAATTAACATTTCATCACAGCACAGCAGCTACCAAACATATCCTGAAAAGAACTGAAATGGCTCTACTCAGGAACGAGCTCCACAGAAAGAGATTCAAATTGTATCAGTTAAACAAAAATTTGCTAACACTACACCTGGAACTGAGCAGCAAAATCCACCCTCTACTTTGGGACAAGATAAACCAGCTTACTACTTGGAGAGCTGAAACTGAAACCACTTACAAAAATGACAAACTCTTGAAGAAACTAAAGAAATTAGAACATGACAATACAGCCCCCAAAAACTAATAACAACACCTGAAACAATTAGTATATAACGTTTCCAACAGAGAACTCACCAAAACAGAAACAGATGTCCTAACCAAAGGATTCAATTATGCTATAGCACCCAAAAAATTCCCCACAGAATCCATCATATGTGCAGTAAAATCCAGCCTAACTAAATTAAATACAGATGAAGCTGATAGAATAAGACACCAAGTTACTAACATCCTATGCAAAAGCAAACCACGCAAAAGCAACTTGCACAAAGAGGAACTAAAAGCCCTGTAAGCCCTAAAGAATGACAGCAGCATAATCATACTTCCAGCAGATAAAGGTAATGCCACAGTAGTAATGGATAGAAAAGATTACGAAACAAAATTGACAGACCTACTCCAAGACTCCACATACAAACCCATAAACACGGACCCAACCACATATCTGGAAAAAATAACCAAGAAGAAAATTATAACCAGCCACATGAGCAAAGAGATCCAACAGACGATCATCCCAAGAGAAAAATCTTCCAGATGCCCCAAACTATACAGCCTCCCCAAAATACACAAAGAAGGCATACCTCTCAGACCCATAGTCAGCTTCAGAGGAGCACCACTACAAAACCTAGCTAAACACTTAGCAAAGCAGCTACAGCAGCAGCTTCACATGTACAAAACTCATACCACTTCTTGGAGATGATCGAAGATCTACACGTGGAACAAGAAGATCTGCCTGTAAGTTTCAATGTGGTTTCACTATTCACTCAAGTCCCGATAAAAGAAACTCTTGAAATCATCACAAATAAATACCAACCAGCTAAACACCTCATGGAACTAGCAGAACACTGCTTAACCAACACATATTTCATGTACAAAGGACAAAGATACAAGCAAATTGAAGGAGCCCCTATGGGATCACCACTGTCACCCGTCATTGCAAAACTGTTCATGGAAGAATTTGAATCCAGGGCCCTAGCTAATGCCACCCACAAACCCAAACTATGGTTAAGATACATCGATGACACATTTGTGATTTGGCCCCATGGAAAAGAAAACCTAAACAATTTCCTAACATATCTAAACAGCACACACCCCAAAATCAAGTTCACCATGGGAACAGAAACAAATAAACAACTACCATTCCTAGATGTACTAATCTACAAAAAAACAGATGGCACACTAGGACACACCATATACCAGAATAAAACACACACCAACCGCTACCTCAACGCCCAATCCTGCCACCACCCAGCACAGATAAACTCCATGGCCAAAATACTAATCGCCAGAACCAAACGCCTGGCAGACAAGACACACATAAAGACTGAAATATGCACCCTGACTAAAGTACTGACAGCTAACAGCTTCCACAAAAGCAAAATCACCAGCTTGATCCACAAAAACACACTGAGACATAAAGGAGACCTAGAAGATGCACAGACCTATGGAACAGCTGTCCTGCCCTACATAAAAGGCACCATAGACAAAATCAGTAAGATACTACACAGGCTGCACTAAAAGCCTCCAATACAGGAACACAATGTTGCCAGCCAATCAAAACAAAAAAAGCCACAAAATAGACAGAAGATATTAGAAATACCAATCAAGCAGAACACAGCAAACTCCAAGACCAATAAACACAGACCAAGACTCCCAACCAATCAGGATGAAAAAAAAAACCATTCTGGCACAGCAGTAGGCTAGCCCCAAATTTAAAACTGAAACGGCTGTGAAAGCCTGATGATGGCAGATGAGATTCTGCCGAAACGTTGCCACAACTTTAAAAGCACAACTATAATGACATGGGAAAATACCCGAACAAAGCTGATGCCAATACAATCATGTTTATAGTGCTATTTCTTTCTTGTTTTTTTATATAATCCCAACTAATGTGAATATCATTCAATAAATATGATTGTGTTTGGCCACCCAAATTCACCTTCCAACAGCATCAAAATGCCCTAATAAGAGAAGGATTGTGAATTGTTTTGAAACCAACACTTTATTCGGATTAAACTTTACAGAGGTGGTCCTTACAAAGAAAATGTATTTATGGATACTGAGAAAAGAGCAATTTGTACAACTCTAGCCAGATCAAACTTTTTCTAGTGAAAATGCTTCTGACATCTAATAACATGATGTATTTCAGCATTTAATGGAACTTAATTCAATAATATACTTTCCCAAAATGTTGCAGGTAATTCTTGACATACAACCACCAGAGCCCAAAATTTCTGTTGCTAAGCAAGATCGTTGTTAAGTGAGTTTTGCCCCATTTTATGACCTTTCTTGCCACAGTTGCAATTGTTGAATCTGGATTCTCCATTGACTTTGCTTTTAGAAAGTTGCAAATGAGGATCACATTATCCTCATGATGATTGCAGTACTGGGATCCTGCAACCATTGTAAATATGAGCTGGTTGCTAAGTGTCTGAATTTTTATTATGTGACCCTGGGGATGCTGCAACAGTCATGTCATTTTTTTCAGTGCCATTGTACCTTTGGTCACTAAACAAATGGTTGTAAGTTAACCTGCATTGTTAACTATAAAATACAGGTGAGTATTACAATTCCCTTTAATTAAATCTTTTAGCCTCGTCCTAGCTCATATAGAAACATAAATTACTTACCTGTTATGGGCAAATCAGTGACAGATGTCCAGAAGTTACTGCCCTTCTTGCGTTTCTCAACTCTGTAGCCCAAAATTCGTGAATTCCCTATTTTATGGGGTGCAGACCATGAAATTGTGATGGCATCTTTGTTGGCACTGTTAACTTTAGGTGGAGCAGGAGGGCTTGGAGAAGCTGAGGAATTGTTTCCAAGATTTTAAAATTATGTTGTTTCATTGTCAACTAAGATAATAAAAAAACAGCTAAGAGAGGATCTGATTTTAAAAGTAAAGTAAGTCGAAACTGATTTTAACTGACAGGTGCCTCAAACAGCTCTCATAAAGCTATGCAAGAGGGATTGGGTCATAGTGAAGATGGCTGTCAACTAATGATCTGCAGATGCAATAATGGTTAACATAATTGGGTTGTGTTGATTTTATTACCATAAGATCATATTTTACCCTAAACCCTGACAGGTTTACCCTGAATTTCCCTCCCTCAGTGCTCTAAGACTTCTGCTGTTTTATCTCTGGAGTCCTAAAAATCAGGGAACTCCCTTGGAGCCATTTACAGGGGTATCCCACATCATTGTCCTCTCATTTCCAAGTAGCACCTAAGGTCTCAGTTGCATCATGCATCAGATCCTCAGAAACAAACAGTCCTTCAAGTCCCCTCTGAAACCCAATAGGATCTATCAGATGCCTGTGGGACTCTGATCAAATAAGTCCTTTCTCCCTGAAACGAGAAGCAGCTATACACTATAGTGAATTCCGATACTTTCAGAGAGAGACCTGGCCATAACGAGATGTAGAGGTTTTCCTTACAACTGTGAATTTGGCTTTGTTATCCTGTCCCAAATAGCAGCAGTTCAGAATGGATTCTTGAATAACTTGGATCCATATTAGCAAAGAGAATAAATCTTCTATTATTATTTATTGTATTAATGAAGATTAATAAAGATAATACATTGGTATTATCTTAGGAGGTTTCTGTAAGAACTGCCAAAATAATGCATCAGATGAATTGCCTGAAATACTCAAGAAATATATTTGTGCAAAGTACTCATGAGATTGAATGGCAATGCAATCTACATTTAATATTAAAGACAAATTCTTTAGATTTTGCTAGACCGTTAGATATTGTCATAATCCTTTGACAAACATACATTAAAAAAAATCACCTTTTGCGGCAGCCATGACTTCATCAGATTCCAGGGCCTCACTGGTACCCAAGGAATTCACTGCTTTCACCCTGAAGTAATAGCTTGTGTCATGTTCTACTTTGTTGGTGGTGAAAATAGTAGAGCTTCCACTTGTTTTTCCCAGTGTCACCCAGGTCTTTCTACCAACCTGTTGCCTTTCAATAATATAACTCTGGATTGGTTTACCACCATCATCTCTTGGGGGCTTCCACTGAATAGTTATGCCATTTGCAGAATTGTCTATAACCGCTATGGGGCCTGTTGGCGATTGTGGTTTATCTGAATGAAAGATCAAAACAGAAAACATGGGCAAGGGCTTTATTATAACCACTTGAGAGAAGCTGGCAGACTAAGGCAAATAAGATACAAATAAATTATAAATTATATAAAAAGGAAACTAACAATACTATAAATGCACTATTTACTCCCTTGGTTATATTGAATTAGTGAATCAGACACTAATTGATTAAATACTAGCAACTCATTCTTATTCATCTCCTCTTGTTCATCTGTCTACTACTGCAATTGTCTTCTATCTGAGAAACAAGTATTCTGCCCAAATGGAAGAAAGCCCCATCTCTGATTCCCAATATTCTCCTCCTCAGAAAGGACAGTACACAACAATAATGACCAAACCAAACATTTGGTCAAAGGAAGAGTTCAGAAAGAAAATATTGGTATAATCATAGCAATGTCTCTACCCTCAGTGTGACTGGGGCTCCTCAACAAAATATTCATCACATTGTGTCCAAATATCCATCAAGAGCTTACTTCGGTCCTATGTCTGATTTTTTTCATCATAGACCAGCCTGTCCATGAATGGCTGGGTGGACTGGATATTAACATTCGAACTACTATAAGTCCACGTATTTGCCATAAACTAAATAAAATAAATAAACAAATAAATTGTATACCAGTATTTCTCAACTTTTTTTTTTTGCACATGGCTTTTTATTTTCACCTGTAGCTCCTCTATGTCCAGATTTCATTACTAGATACAGACATGAGACAGTAAGTGATGCATTTTCTGATACAAGACACTATTTGGAATATAGTACATTTTGTTTTTCTGTGGCCACCTCACCATATGCTGTGGCCTTTGAAACATGTCTCTCACCAATGGTCCCCTTTAAATGTCCTAGGGACCATAGAGGGCCTTGTGGCCCTGGTTGAGCACCACTAATGCACATTATAGTGCTACAAGCAAACTTCTTGTACGTGTCTTTGATTATATTGAAAAGCATTGTCTATTTTATTTCACATCAACTTATTTTTATCCAGCTTCCCATGAAGAAGCAATAAAAATTTATTCACATACAAATGTTGAATAGTACTTCATTTTTTATATATATTAATAAAAAATAGTTGCCTGAATACTACAGTTTCCTCACCTATCACTTCCAGCTTGAAAGGAACTTCAAAACTTCCACACTCATTCTTTAATCTCACTTTATAATCTCCAGTATCCTTCCGGATGGTGCTGGGTAAGGAGAGTCGAGTAAAGTTCTGTGAAGAATCTATGTTTATCCGGTCATCATCCAGAAGTTCCTGGTTATCCTTTAACCACGTTACTCTGATTGGCTTCTGACCTTCAAATGGAATCTTAACCATGGCATTTTTTCCTGCCTTTACCACAATAGGTTCCTTCTTTAGTTTTTCCAGAAGTGTAGAGTCAACATTTGGAGGATCTGAAAAAGGATACACTAAATAAGCACTGAATGTAAACGAAGTTTACATTCTATGTTTGACTTTAAAAAAAATCTTCTGACAAAAACATGATATCTTCTGGCAAAACATGGTATCTTCTGGCAAAACACTTTACTACTCATTGAATGTTTAAATTTTCTGTCAACAAATCTTATGAAAATCTGAAAAAAAGTTAAGGAGTGAGTGGCATGCCCCTCCCTCAATTTTAATTCTACCCTTTTTCTAATGAGTCCAGTCTTGTTAATCTCCATTTATTCTTCAAAGTTCACAAATTTTAAGATTATTTGACAATAATCATTTATTTTCTCCCAGTGATGAAGATTTATATATCTATAAATGTGTTTATAGATAAGAGATGGGCTATTGGAAGAAAAGTTCACTTGTAACATTTTAAGAGAAGGTGATAAGTTGCTAAAATTGTTTATACTTGTGATAAAGGGGGAAGTCATTTTGTTATATATTTCTTTTTTTTTTCTTTGCTATATTGTTATTCTTTTCTTTCTTTTCTCCATTTTTCTTATTTTTCTTACTTTTCTTCACCTTCTATTTATCTTTTTTAGTTTATATTTTTATAGTGACCATGTTTAATAAAATTACTATTAATTTTATTAAATAAAAAGTATTTAATGAAATTACATTATTAAAAAGGAATTCAATCTTTAAAAAACACACCATAATTCCTACCAACCAGAACATCAAATGCCCTAGCACATGTACAATTCCTTAACAGTTTTGTTAAAACAGAAAGAAAAGTATTCCCAAGATGAAACTAAAAACATTGATCCAATATTATAACCAAGGGAAGACTGTTCTTGACATTTAGGGCAACATAAAATATGGCACAGAGTAAACATAGAAACCATTACTAACACTCCATCAGATAAATAAGATTCAAATATTAGAGTCAATGGGTATCAAGAGTTATAATAAACAAACAAACAAACTTGGAAAATGGAAAGTTATTGCAAAAAAGCAAGCATTAAGAGCAAGAGGTAGGGGCTTGATATTACATTCAAATGTGATATACAATGTAATGAAGTGGAAAAGTGATGATTTTAAGATTATTTGACAATAATCTAATAAACAGCAAGAGGAGACAGAATTTAGCAGAAGAATTCTAAAATTGCAACCATTTATAAAATATTGAGAGAGACAGTTGTAGTAGTTAAGGCATCAACTAGAAAACTAGGAGACTTTAAGTTCTAGACCCACCCAAAGCCAGCTGGGTAAATTTGGTCCAGTTGCTTTCTCTCAGCCATAAGAAGGAAGCAATGTCAAAGCACTTCTGAAAAAACCTTGCCAAGAAAACTGCATGGTCTTGTCCAGGCAGTCTCCAAGAATCAGATACAATTGAAGAGAAGAAATATAACATAGTAGGAAATATTGCACAAATTAATGCCTCACTAATGGTATATCTTCCAAGTGCTACTGGCTCTCAGATTTTGCAGTACTGAGATTTTGATCTATACCTGTTCTGTCTCCCCTTCCCTTTCCCCCAAAAGGTAAGGGATTATACACACACACAAACACTGACAGGCAAGCTGGCTCAAACTTTGCAGAGCAAATCCTCTGTAACTGATAACAATCTTAGCATCCCACTACATCCTGCCTGCCAAGTCCGAGCTGGCAGCAATTGTAAATGAAAGTCTTATTCACACAGAGGGAAATGGGTCTTTTACTTCACAAAGCACAAGGCAATCCACAAAACAATCGTTCTTCCAACATAGTCACGAATAAAGTCTAAAGTAAGTTAAACTTTGTCCTGTACAAAGTTTAAGGAGAAAGCACACCCACTTTTATCCCCTGTGGGGTGTGGCTCAGTGACTCAGCTCACTCTCTGACCCTCCCATCTTCCTACGTTGCTGCTCACGTTTCTCCCTATGACACTGCTTGGAGTCGATCCAAGACTCCTCCTCTTCACTCCCTGTCAGGGGCTGCTCCAACACGCCTTCCTCCTGATTCATCTCAGGCTGTTCCTCTCGGTTGTCTGATGGAACCTGAGGCATTACCAGGGAGGAAGGCATTACCAGGGAGGAAGGTCCTGGGGAGGAAGGCATTGCCAGTTCCTCCCCCTCATCTTCCAGGTCCTCTTCCTCTGACAGCATAGGCTCGGGAGTTGGGGCCACAACATATACCACTTATTAATTCAATGTTGTATCCATTCCCTTCAGTCTTATGAACTTACAAAACTCTTATTCTAATGCTAGAATGGCAATTGGTGGCCTATGACTATAGATATCCTTCAACCTAGTTTTATGCATTTTTCCATTGAAAACCCTCTACAAGTGATCAATTACAATTTATGAAAGAAGAATATATGGGGAACCTGGTATGTGAGGACAGTCTCAGAGAAAGCAAAGATGGTATCAGAAAGCAGGAAAGAAAAACAGACAGTATTTGAAAAAGTATTGGAACAGATCTCCCCAAAAGTGCCTGTCTTTAGTTTCACCAATGTATCATGACATCTCACTCTGATTGCTTTTAAAGAAAAGGAGAAATTCATGTATTAAATGCATGATTAACCAGTGGCATTTAGCCATTGCTATTCAATCTGCTAAAATAACATGGCTAGGGTTACCTTCAACAAAAATAGATGCTTCTGTGCAGATGCCTTCAGCTTCAAATTTATATTTTCCAGCATGAGTGTCTTCTACTTTGTCAATTATCAGTTTATGGACTGGGCCATTTTTCTCAATGGAGACTGCTCCTAAATCTGTTATCTTGTGGGAAAGTTGAAAGAATACAGGAAAATACGTTTCTCAAAAAAAAACCAAAACCATGCAACATTGAACAAATAATTCAGTCTGGTCCAAAGCTAACTTTACTACAGATATGGAGAACCCTGGAGTTAGACGATTGCTTGTTCAGATTTCAAAGATGTGCCAATGAGATGGACATTTTTCAGAAATTGGTAGAATTCACTGATCTTTTTGTAAAAGTCATTAATATTTTTGAATAGATTTATTTTCTCATTTATGAATCATTGCACAACTGTGGTGATTCTTCTTGCTTCAGGTTATATTCCAGTCAAATACATATGCATTTTTGTTGTTGATAATTCAACTCCATAATTTATAAACTTATTACATAATTTCATCCCGATGGAATTAAGACACTGTCTCTTTTTACTATAATTTAAATTGGCAGTAAGGAGCTGTTCCTCTGGAATGTTAAATACCTATTTTAGATGTATTTTATTTATGGTTTCTGGTTTTATGTTTGGTTGCATTTTTTGTTTATTTATTTATTTTTGCATATCACCAAGCCTAGTAGAAGAAGAATGTAGTTATGACCTCAAGACTGTTTCACTGCAATGTGCGTTATATGGGACTGCCCTTGAAAATTATTTGGAAGCTTTAACGGGTGCAGAAAGGGGTGGTGCAAGCAGTTACTGGCACCAGTTACATGATGCATGTGATATCATTGGTTGAGTGCTTTTGGCGTGCTTCTGGGTGCAATTCAAAGTGCTGTTTGTAATTTTTAAAGTTCTTTGTGGCTTGGAACCTGTTATTACAAGACCATTTTTCCTCAATTGTTTCTATCCACCCTATCTGATTTGGCAGGAGGAGTATGTTCCTGGTACTGATGGCTAAAGAGTCTCAGCAGGTAGGCCAGAAGAAGAGAATTTTCAGTTATGGCATTTGGCTTTTGACACATCAATTGGAACATTAAGATATGAGATTAGATAGGCCCCATCTGCATTGGCCTTTCATAAAAGCTTGAACAAGCCTAAAGCCCTGAGGAATAGAAAAGAACCTGTTGTCCTGGCTATGTAGCTGATTGGTCGGATAATATCCAGCCTCTATGTCAGGGATGTCAAATTCAAGGCCCACGGCCCACATCCAGCCCTTGGGGTGGTTTAATCTGACCCACAGGCCCATCCTGGAAACAGCTAATAACTGGCCTGCAGTGCCTCTGCCAGTGAAAATGAAATTGAGTTTGACATCCCTGCTCTATGTTATTTTTTTATATATATATATATGTATATTTTCATATTTTATTTATTTTATTGTAAGCTATGTAGAGTCATGTAAAAGGGGGATAGGCAGATATATAAATTGAATTAATAAATGGATTAGTTTTATTTTCCTTTTTTTCAAATTATTACATATTACTATGATAGTACATTTGTTCATTGTTGCCAGTACTATCTTTTTAATTCCCAAATAAAATTTCATTAGATACAATGTGTGTGAAACAAGGAGTACTTCATCGATCACAAGTTAACAACTCATACCTTCACTCCATCTTTAAACCAAGTTCCCTTGACCTCATCATTGCTGAGACAGCAAGACAACTCAGTTGGTTTTCCTTTCTGAGCATGGACATCAAATAAACCTTGATGCAGATGGCAAAGTGGTTCTGAATAATCAAGAGACAGAAACACTCATTTTAAAAAGATGTTTTTTTAAAAAAAAATTACACATGTCTTATAAATTTATATTAAAACACACTTTAAAAAAAGAACTCATTCATGAATATATAAATACCTCTCAAGTCCTCTTCAAGCAGTTTTTCTCCTCTCCCTTTCCTTGAGAGATCAGCTGGTGTAGATCCACTGGTCTCTAAATCAGACAGCTGCCTTCTTCTGTCACCAGCATGAGATACAGCATCATAAAGGCCAGAAGCCTGGTCATAACCCAGGAACTCTTTGCCAAGTATGTCTGACTTTTTCTCATGTAGTGATCTATTAGCATCTCTAACTCCTATACTATCTGCATAGTGTACGACATCTTCATGGTAGTGATAATTGAAGTTTCTTTCATTATTAAATCCTACCTCACTGGCAATTGTTCTAGTTAATCCACCATCCTTCCCATATTGCCCACTTACTCCCATGATACCACTAATACTTCTACTACCTGGCACTCCATTTTTGCCATAAGGCCCATCTAATTCTCCAGCTACACCATTTCCAATGAGGTAACCATTTTTTTCATAAAGTCCACTTACATTACTAGCACCATCAAGTTTATCTAAGACCTCTCTTTTTGATATATCGTTTCTTTCACAGAATCCAGTGCCTTTTCCACCTGCCGTGCAAATAGATTCACTTGCACCATCAATATTCCCAGCTCCAAATTGATTAAATACACTGTCTTTGTCATAAATTCTACCAATAATGACATATCCAGTAGGGCCTGCTCTACATAAAATATTATGTCCACCTACTCTGCCAACATCTCCAAGTCCATAAATGTCTACTACATTTGGCATTTTGTCTTTGCCATAATTTCCATCTACATTACCAATGCCACCAGGTTTATTAGTGCCTGCACTTAATGGTATGCTCTCAATACCATCGTTGTCATATAGACTATGTACTATTGAGCCATGATATCCAATAGTGTATGTTCTATTTGGTATGCTATTCTTATCATAAGATTCATCCATGTCTTTAGAATCAATTTCTCTCCTGCCTGTGACACTTGGTATATCACCCTTGCCATTGAGTTTATTCCCAGCACAGCCTCCATCTGATGTATCACCCATTCTAAATCCGCCAGTACTTGTATCCTTTGGCATGCTGTTCTTGCTATAAAATACAGCAGTGCTTTCACTTCCAATGGGTCCATTAGCACCAATTCCACTTAGTATGCCATCTTTATCATAGAGCCTAGAAACTCCTCTAAGACTAACAAATCCATCTGACATTCCATTCTTATCATAAATTCTAGCTGTTTCTCCAATAACATTTGCTTTGCTAACTAATCTTTCACCATTACTAAGTTCATCATCAACAGTACCAATTATCATACTATTCTTGTCAAAGATTCCTCCACTAGCACCTACTTTCCCCAATATATCACCTTTCACATAGAGCCCGTCTATTTTTCTAATATCACCACCATCTGAATAAAATCCACATGGCATCACACTCTGGACAGACAGTCCGGTAGTATCTGCTTCATTTTGTATAATATCCTTTCTATAGAATCTACCAGTGTCCTTGCCATATAGCATATCATGCCCACTAGAACTATCAGCTCCACAACTGCTTGCTTTATTTGGTATGCCATTCTTGTCATTGAGTCCAGTGATATTCACTGTATTACCATATTCACTAGCTCCAATTTCATCTAGCAGGACATCTTTACTATACAGTGTATCTATTCCACCAATATTATCAGCTATATTAGTGTCTGTTTCACCTAGCATGCCATCCTTGCCACAGTGTCCACTCGTAGTCTCTGTTCTCCCTAGCTTGCCATAGTTTCCTAGTTTCCAATCATAAAGTCCACCGATGCCCCCACCATCAGCTCCATTTATTTCAACTTCTTTGCCATGGTGTTCATTGATGTTTCTAATAGTATAAGGTCCCCCAACAACGGCTCCATCAAGTGTAGAATGTTTACAATAAAGACTGCTTATGCTCGTGGCCCTATTTTGTCCAATAGCATCTGTGCCTCTTAATATGTCATTCTTATTATAGAATCCATCTATGTTATTAGCAAGATTGCAAGCACTCATTCCTTGTAGCACAACATCCATATTATAATATCCATCTATGTTCACAGTACCGTCAGGTCTAACAGCTCCTTTTAGTACATCCTTCTTGCCACTTATGCAAGCACCAGCATCAACTATCGTATTATCCTTGCTATGCAGCACTCTTAGACTTTCAGCATCATTATGTCTATCAGTGCCTGATTCAGGTGACATTCCTTTTGTCCCACAGTGTACTACTATCCCTCCAGCACTCGGAAATCTACGCACCACTTCAGATTCAGCTAGCACTACATCATTGACATAAATCTCATTCATTATCCTACCATCTCCAATTTTACCTGCCATATTGCCACAGATACTTTTCGTGCCATCAAGTCTAAGACCTTTGGCTTTCTCTAAATGATTATCTTTGTCATAAAATTTCCCTGCAACTCCTATATCACCTTCTATTACATCAGATTCAGCTGTTATGTAAACATCTCTATAAAGTCTACTTCTGTCTCCAACTTCTGAGAGCTTATTATCTTTGAAATAAAGTATATCTGCACCACTTAACCCACCATCTTTAGGACAGAGACTTCCATTTCTATCAAAAGTCACTCTTGATTGATCAGAATCACCCAATATAACTTCCTTGCCATTAAGTCCTTCTATCTTTCCTGCTATGTCAAATCCAACTCCAGAGCTACCATTGTATCCAACAATATATTGATTTCTATTGATCTCTGCAGTGCCTAATATGGAATCTTGGAATCCCAAGACTGATCCTCTATTAAATCTGTCTGAAAGATCTGTTCCATTAAGTGTGGAAACTTGTCCTTCTGAACGTTGCCATCCATTTGTACCTTCATGTCCAGTGTTGAAAGCTAACATTGCATTTTTCCCATATTGGGAGGTCTTGTCAGTCAAACTACCTATTCTTCTGATGTTTCCATCTAGCACTACATTCTGACCAAATCCTATCTTCCCATCACTTCTCAAAGATCCATCTTTTTCCAGGCTGTTATAAAGCTGCATATTGCTATCTTGGCCATTCCCATACTGGGCATCTTTGCCCATGTTGAAGTCTGCAAGGAGATCTTGATCTTTCTGCCTTTCTCCTTGGTGACGTTTCTTAGCATGCTCTTCATCTAATGGTTTGCTCCATTGTCCAGCTTTATCACTACTGTCCTCTTCAGATTGCTTTCTCTTTTCTTTAGAAGCTGTATTACAAATATACTGATGGTTAAATTGAAATGGCAAAGCCATTCATTTCTTGTAATTTAATGCAAAATAATGCAATTTAATGAATGAAACACCTTAATTAAATAAACATCACTCCTTCTAGTTTTGCATTGTGATACCAGGTGAGCCTTTTAGTGCCATATCATGATCAGTAGCATAAAAGAATTGTGGGTTTTTTTTAAAAAAAACAGCAAATGAAATTATAGCTAATTTATCATTTATAAACATCTCATTTATGAACAGTATTTATATGGTAGCAAAATAACTATTATTATAAACACGGATCTTCAAATTGCAAGGCATTATAACTTCTATGTTATATGAATGATTTGCATTAATTAATATTGATTTAACAATGATCACAGCTATCAGTTTTACAATAGAGTTTTCACATTTAGATAGTTTAGGGATATATATAATGATTCCAGTACTGCTGGAAACATTGCACTATATCAGGCAAATAATTTTTATGTTTTTAGAAACGTATTCTTTGAAATCCTTCAAAGAAAAAAAATTATTTAAGACCAGTACATTAATGGTGTTTGCAAAGCACACTGGACAACATTTCCAAAGCAAATGTTACAGTTTAGAATAACTGGAAGAAGTCATTAATGATTAAGGAATCTTAAAACTTATTCCAGTATTTCTGTCATTTAAATCTCTTTGCAACCCATAATTAGGCATTTCTCATTGAGATCTTGAATATAGCACTGTTAGATGTTTTTAGAAGGGAAAGGGGTACATCTGCAGGGTTATGTTGTAAGAAATCAAGATTAGATCATCACTCACATTTTATTTCAAGCCAAGTACTTGAAGAACAGCTTCCAGTGTCAATGGTGTAAGTCTCTTTGTCAGAGGATTGGATATTTTTAATGCCTAGATGGTAAATAAGGCCATCATTCAAGATTGAGATATCATAATTATAATTTGATTCTAAATGAATTAATAGGCTTCGTAGCAGGCACACTGAAAATAGCATTTTCTTTCTGGTGGCTACTTCATTCTCACTAGGTAGAGAGCAACAGTGTATAGGAATGTCTGAAATAATGAATTAATTGGAAATAGACATACAACAAATTCAAAATGTGGAGCAGAAGAAAACCTGTAGGTGGAAAAAGCATGGCAAATATCTATTTCATTTACCAATGAATGAATTTTACCTATCTACTTTTCAAACTTAGCTTAGAATAATCAGATTTAATATTGAGTGATAAAATGTCTTCCTGACACTGTTGATAACAAAATATCAGGATACATTCATTATTCCAAAAGTATTTTACAATTCATTTTGCCTAATCAGGATTTCCAGCACACAAACTATTAAAATGTTTTATATTATTTTGTCTTGTTTTTATATTTAAAATTGGAGGCATATTTTTATATTCAACAAATTTTATATTAAGAATATAAATTACTCAAATTTCAATTTCACAATATATTAAAATGTATAAAAAGGCTTTAAGCTCACATTTTGAGAAAAATATCCACATCGATGCAAGAAGAAATTACCTGAAACCAGTTTTTTCCTGTCCTAATTTAAGCTCCTAATTTATGCAACAGCTTTCTGCAAATGTTGGATTCATTTATGAGATTGAGGGTTATTTCATTTTTTGAGGCATTTCAATGTTGATTGTGTACATAATGAATTATACATCTCGGCATCTATGCTTATTATATACTTTGAAAAGACGTATTTATTCCATGTACATACGATTTACTAATCTGACATTTTTCATATTATTTAAAGAGCTAATATATAAGGATACTATAAAACCTTGGCTTGAATTCTTTAATTGTTCACTTTAATGCCAGTCATACTACAAAATTATGCTTGCTACAATCCTGGCATTAAAGACAATGGGATTTCTTTCCAGGTTACATGCACAAGATCACATATTTGTGCAAAATTGCTTTTCTAGTTGTTTCTATATTAAATTATCATTCATAAAATTATTCATTTGTTAAAATCACATTCATTTTCATTATTATTCTGTCAATTATTGTGCATCATCTTGTTTTCTGCTTTCAACAGAAAACAGAGCTGGAAGTTTAAATCTAGACCTCTATATTTTCTATCCACAAACCATGATGTGAAACGTGGCAAACTTTAGGGGGAGAAATGGGGAAAATCTGTCTTTAAGATCATGTTTGGAATAAAGATAAAGTTGGAAAAATGTAAGGTTTCTTCACAGTTGTGCTAAGCAAACTGCACTCTTAATATAATATAATATGTGAACCTGAAAGGCAGTTTGGTGTAGTGGTCACATAAGTCTAGGCCTGCCTTAAGGCACAAAGCTGGATGATCTTGGGCCAGCTCTAGGAAGGAAGCAATGATAAACACCTTCTGAAAACTTTACCAAGAAACTTGCAGGGGCTTCTCTAGACAGCCTCCAAATATTGGAAGTGATTGAATGGAAGCAATGAACCAGTCTCACAATTCGGCATTATTTTTTCCCTATATTTATGATAGTGAACATAAAAGAGGGGAAGAAGAAGGATTGGTGACTCTAAGGAACATGAATATGATTTTTAATATGAAAATACCACTGCTTTTTGATATGCTTTGAAGTTTTCCTCACTTCTTTGTTTTACATGATATTTACCACAGCTGTTCCAGAAATGTGGACACTCAAAAAGTGCTTTGGAAATATAAAGAGCAGCACAAGTAAGATTTGAAGAATCTTTGAATTTAAGTAATGCTATTCTGTATTTTTAATGAGCTCTCTGGAATCCAACTGTGGCTGATAGAAAAAGCTAAGCAGGTTTTTACCTGCTTAGGACTTGAATGGTTGACTGCCAGAAATCCATAAGGCTCTAGCTAGAATGGGAAGTTTATTGAAATTCTATATAAAAATTATAGGAAGCAAAAGTGGCAAATGCAAATCCCTTTCTTATTGCCAAAAAAAAATTGTTCATGCAATCAGGAACAAAGCCTGACTTCTAAGTCTATTTGATTGTTTTATATGTTTATTAGAAGCTGATTTAAAAACAAAACAAGAAGAGAACAAAAAGGCTGTCCTATGTCATTCTCTGGCAGTTTTATCATTCTCTGGCAGTTTTGGTATACCTGATTCTCATGCTCTTTCTAGACCAGGGGTGTTAACATCACTTGAGGTATCAAAACTCTTTTCCCCTTCATTAAACTGGGTGTGGGCATGGCCAGCGTATGAAGCATCTGGCCCATGGGCCATGAATTTGATAGTCCTGTTCTACACTCCCTATGTCATAATTAAAATATGACATGCTCCTTCTTATTTCTCATCTATCGTAATTTGAGTCTGCGAAAATGAATGCTAAACATGAGCAACAAATGAATATGGCATTTCAAATTTATCTACATCTTTAGCATTTATTTCTTCACTAGTAACAAATGAAAGGAATAAATTTAGTTTGTCAGATATTTCATTTGTTATGAAACAAATGCACACCCATATGGAGTCTTTGGTTGAGAAGCCTTACTTTCTGCTTCCAGTTCAGTGGAGAAGATATCTACATCTTCTACTTTGACCTGATAAACGCCAGCATCGTCTGGCTGCAGATCATTGATCGTAAAATTATAGTTTTTGCCCTCTTGCTGTAGGCGGTGCTTTAAGTTGTCATCATTAACTCCAAAATTGACCTTCTGGCCATCCTAGAAGTAAGATGAGAGAACAAATAAACAGGCAAAGCTACAGCCTTGAAGAATAAATCTGAATTCACTTTAAGATTTGAATTATAGTTACTTTAAGGAAAACATAGTAGGCCCTAATTTGATATTAGCCATATCTGAATTGGTTAAATCTACCAGTAGAGTTTTCCTCCTAAAACAATAACTTGTTTAGGGATGAATAGTAGTCAACTTACATTGCTTATGACTGTTATTGAAAAGAAATTAATGCAAAAGAGTACAAAAGACTCAAGAATTGGATTGCTATCACACCCATCAGGACTATTATCTAACCATTTGGAAGGGCTTGCTGTTCTGCTGAATTGTATTCTTTTTATAACATCTAACCTGGATTTGTTTTACTTTCCTCTTCTTTCTTCTTTCCTCTGCTCATTTATCTCTTTCCCTATTACCTCCATTCATTTTTTAAACTGTTCTCCTAATAGTTGTGTTTTATATGTTACCACAAAGGAAGTCTATGTATAAAACCATACTGGCAATGTTATTCCTGAGATAAAATTGCTACTGTCGAATGAAGTGTTAATCTGCTTGTTTCCATAGCTGTTTAGTTCCAGTTGAGTCATTCTCTCATAAACTTCATGTGTCGAGTTAGCCAAATCACTATCCTTCCTTACTTTGTAGAGACAAATTCTGCTGTCTGGGTTTTTCAGTTCCATCTCTAGATCAAATGAAGCATTTCTTTGCTCTTTATTGACTTTCAGATGCTTCAGATTTGCAATACTGTACACATACTGTAAAAACAAGAGAGAGGTAAATAATTTAAGATATTATAACATTTTATGTATAATATTCACACTAGCAAAATAGAACACATTCATTGTTGTCAAAGGAGCAAAACTTTTGCTCCACTTGAAGATGTTAAGACAATTATTTCTCAGTGGAACATACCATGAAATAAACTCAAGACTTGTGACAGTATCCTTTTTAATGATTAGTGGTTACTTTGTCCTTAAAATGCAATGAAAGTTTGCATTCTGATGATATTTTAATTAACATGTCAGTGACAACTTATTGAATATTTATCTAATCAAATCACAGGATACGAAGCAAGATAGTCTCACTTGAGCCTGCTTATCCTCTCTTGCCTTCTTCATTTCCTGAAGTTTTCTCAGCATCCCACGGAAATCAACAACTCCATACTTTATGCAAATCTTCTCATAATCTTTCTTCTCTGCATTTAGCAATATTTGTGCAATCTGTTCCATGTCCATTTTTTTCTTAGGAACAGCAGAAGGTGTTCTACAGGTTAATTTCCAAAAGAGAAACCCAAAATGTACATGAATTGCAAGAGACCTAAAATTTGTCATGTAATTGTCAAAGAAGCATATGAGGAAAATGCTTGGAAGACTACTTTTTATCATTACCTCATTTTTATCATTACATTACATTAGGGAAATTTTGTATACTTTGCAAAAATGTATACTGTTCGGTTTATAATAGCAGACATATATAAGACATATTAATTACGATGTATTGTTAGAAGCAAAGCTAACTCAGTACTGAAAAACCTAACCTGGGGAAGTGATGGGTTTTCTATTGGTTGGTATTGTTAATAAAGAAAACGTTATCAAAAATATTTAACATCTATGCATACATAGTTTAAATAAATAATAAATTTAGGAGTTTTTGCAGGTATCTTTTGTGGGACAGAATCATTTGACATAAATGAAGTCAATATTTAAGAGAAAAAGTTAACTGTAAATAATAGTTGATTGATTGATTATATAAAAGGTATATTACTGAAGAATCCTTTACTGAAGACAGCTCTTTATTACTAGCAGAAGCAAAACAACAATAAAACAACAGTTTAATTTACTGGAATTGGAATTTCTGTGTGTCATTATTTTACTATTATTGTTAGCACATAACAAAAAGAAAATACAGATATTTAACATAAGTCGTTGTTGGAAAGCTCACCGTTTCTTTAATGTTTTTCTGAAGTCCTGAATCTCTTTCTTAAGATCTATAAAATATTTTAAACACTAGCATGAAAATTGAGCTTACATCACAAGAAATGTGCAAGCTTTAAAAATGATTTAGAAGAAGTGCTTTGTATCTCCATGTGAACCTAAAACAGTATTTTTAAAACTTGGCAAATTTAAGATATGTGAACTTCAACTCCCAGAATTTCCCAGCTAGCATATCCAACTTCTGGAAGTTGAAGTCCACACATCTTAAAGCTGCCAATTTTTGTTTAAAAAATACTGGTCTAAAATCAACAGCAGCTTCTTAAAGAGTTGTATTATTAATCTTTTAAAGCAGCAGTATTTTTTCATGAAAAATGCTCTCATGAAAATCTGCAAAAATTCAGATTCCTTTAATGAACAGCAGAGACATACTACTTGCATGAAGTAAAAAAGAACGTGCTTATTCAAAATCATATTTAAAGGGTACATAACAGCTCATAATTTAAAACTTACTAAAACTTTAAAATGATTCAAAATTGCCAAGCAGCCATTAAAGAACTGGGGTTTGGCCTTCTAGATTACCACTATTATGATTTTTTAAAATAACATTATGGCAACTCACCTGCCTGTTGTGTTACAGGAAGCAAAGTTTTCTTTTTGAAGTCTACAGATCCATTTTGATGAGAGATAAAAGAAAAGGAAGAGATAGTGAGACAGAAAGACAATTCTTGTTAATTAACAATACCCTGGTAGGACTACTCACAACATAATCAGGTCATGCAGAATTTATAGTAATTATAGTTAGCACTTATACAGTCTTCAGTGAGACAAATGTACATGACTTGTATTAAAACATCTAAACATTGATGGGAAACAGCTTTTTTAGACAACTTACAAGGAACTTAAATTGTGACTTTAATTTATGAATAGGCAACATGTGATGCTAGGCAATGTAAAAAAAGGAGCAGGCTTTGGTCTTAAGATCATGATATCATCTTTGGTGTTTTTTTTTTGACACAAATACACATGCATACTGTTGCTGCCCCTGATTTCAGCCCAAAAATTGCACATCACAGATAGATTGCTCAGACAGATTGTCACATGCTAACACGATTTAATTACCCTCTATAATTTTGAGACCAGCAGTACAGGACGCTTCCCCATATTCATTCACAGCAATACAACGGTACAAATCAGCATCATCTGAGGTAATTTTGTTTATCTTCAAAGGGAAAATAAAATGAATAAAATTACAGTTTCTTAGACTGGTATAATATATTTCTCACTCTTCTGTTTCCTGAGTAAAAAGGTAGAACGGCTAACCTTGGGAAATTTATATCTGTCTGTCTGTCTGTCTGTCCGTCTGTCCATCAATCCTTTAAAATTAAATGCTAAACCTTACCTGCAAGATAAATTCATTTGTGGCAGGATTAAAAGATATTTGGTATTTCTGACAATCATCCATTTCCCTATTACTGCACTTCCACAAAACCTTTGGTTTTGGTTCACCTTTGACCACAGCTCTGAAAATGGCATTTTTACCTGACAAAGAAGAAAGAAAAAAATACAAGCTGCTTTCATTGGGAAGTAGAAAGTTCTAAAAGCCCACTGTGTATATTAAAAATAAATTCTGCTTTTAGAGAGCAGAATGGGGGAAAGCACAGCAAAAGCCAACAGCGAACTTGTTTTGTTTCTAGCAAAAGATCCCATGCTTCAAATCAGGCATCAGGGAATAACCTGATTAACATTTACCAGGAGTTTTTCCACTGATTAAAATAAATTGGTTAAAAGAATTGCTATTCAGTTAGAAATTTAAGAATGGAGGTAGCAAATCCTTAAGAAATCTCACCTTCCTGTAATGTTACAGTGATTGGTTTCCGCTCAAAGTCAGGCAGGCTGTACCCTTTAGGAATATCTTCTACAAATTGTGTAATAGCCACCCCTGGGAGGGCAGATTTATTCAAAGACTTAACTGAAAAGTAATAAAAAGACAAAGTCAAAAATGAAAAGTTAATTGCAAATCAAATAGCTAGATATCTACTTCTACAAGATTGAAAAATGACTTGGCATTAAGGAAATAACATAGATAAATTATGATATACTGTATTGTATTTTTAAACATTTCTATACAAACTAATTAGACCATTCAAATGCAATATGGATAAGACTTTAGATTTATTTATTTATAAATAAATAAATATTTATAATTAATTAATATTAATTAATTATTAATATTATTTATTTGCATTTATATTTATTTACATCCCATCTTTTTTTTTTTACAAATAACTCAAGGCAGCAAACATAGCCAGCACATTACTTCCTCCTATTTTCCCAATAACAACAACTCTGTGAGGTGGCTTAGGCTAAAAAAGTGATTGGCCTAAAGTCACCCACCTGTCTTTCATGGTTAAGGCAAGACTGAAACTCATGACATCCTGGCTTCTAGCCTGGTGTCTTAACCAGCAGACCAACTGGCTCCCCCAATATGTATTGTTATGGTGATTGATATAGAATCCCAGATTGTAATTGAAAATATGAAATTTTCCAAAATTATCATCTTCAATTCTCTGCTGACATTCCCTCTTTTATTCTATCCACCATTAGAACTCAACATTTTCTGACTCTAAGCCCACACAAAGCTTTTCTTTGAGCTTAATCAGTTATTTATCTCTACACAGATACTGTAGCACTCTCAATTATCAGAATTCCAGAATTATGACATTATATTGGGAATATTTATAAAAGCCAATTTTACTTCTGAACTACCAAAAGTGTGTCAAAAGTGAGACTTGCAGAAATAAATTAGACCCATTTTTATCATATTTTATAAAAATTTAAATGATTTATGAGTACATATTTAACTTCAAGAGTTCAGGGGACTTATTTGTTAGAAATGTTCTGTTCGGTAGATCATATATTTTGAAGCATGTGAATTCCAACCATTTACTTCAACTTGAATAAGATTGGATTAAAACATTAACTGGAGCATAAGCTCCAAGCCATTGAAATAATGTTGAATGAATAAATCCTTTCTTGGAAGAACTAATTGTCTAAGCTTCTAGTAAAGATCTTACCTCCTCTCCAATTTGCCATTGTTTTCTGTTGACAACTGGAATTCAGCAGTTTTCACTGCAAATCAATGCCTCGTTATTATTAGTGGAAATATCTATCAATATTTAGAAGAAACTGTTTTAAGAGAGGGAGGGAGGGAAGGAAGGAAGGAGGGGAGAGGGAGAGAGAATCATAGTGAATAAGCCAAAAATGCTTGTAACACCCTATCCATAATTGGACATTTTCAGAGTTACGTACTTAAGCTTTTAGAATTCTTAGCAGTGCTGTGCTGGTTGAAAATTTTAATTATCAAAGTTCACACATCTGGAAATTGGTCAGCTTACAAAATTCAATAAAGGTACAGTCATGAATGTACTAGAAATAAATTCCACTCATACAAATAGTGTCACTTAATTGTGAGAGCAACTGCTTTTGGATGTTCAATTCTTTTCATGTATTGTTTTTAATCCAGTCTGGACTAATGACTCATATTCTTTCTGGGTGGGGTGGGCATAATGTTATTGACATTATAGTTCCCTGTGCACTGATATGGGAAGTTGGATTTGCAGAAATGCTGCTCATAAATGGAGAAAGTTTTCATGCTATCTCATGGATTTCATCTTTAGCATATTTTAATAAGCCAGAAAACTTAGTTTTTAATATCTGTGATTTTGGATAGATTTGTACTCAAATGAGAAAAGAATTGGGAATATCTAGCAAATAAAGACACTAGGTGGTGCTAGAGACAATTCAAACTCAGTAACCATATTTGTAGGCTTAGAAACATTAGCATCTTAGAGACAAAAATGTATTAAAGTTCTGTGCAGTATAGACAGTTAACCCTGGTTGATGAATACAAATATACTGGTGAAAAGGGAAGCAATGGGGAAAAAACTGTGAAACCTATACAAATTTTAAATATAAATCACATAATACTAGGTATTATTTGTAAAGCAATATTGATGGTGATAAAATCATTTTGCTATTCTTAAGCTAATTCATGTGTGTGTGTGTGTGTGTGTGTGTGTGTGTGTGTGTGTATGGCATTCAGCTTTGTTCGGGTATTTTCCCACGTCATTGTAGTTGTGCTTTTAAAGTTGTAGCAACGTTTCGGCAGAATCTCATCTGCCATCATCAGGCTTCTGTATATAGAACAGAAGCCTGATGATGGCAGATGAGATTCTGCCAAAACGTTGCTACAACTTTAAAAGCACAACTACAATGACGTGGGAAAATACCCGAACAAAGCTGAATGCCATACATGTAAGTACCCACGAAAACTTAAGAAATATAAAAAAAAAAAAAAAAAAAAAAAATGTTGTATACTGGGACCAATATGGTTACTGAAGTATCCAGCTTGGATCTAAGCTCCATTTTTTTTGTCAGTTAGAGCCAATAAACCATTATTATTTCTTTCTGGTTCATCACTTTCCACCAATTATAATTGCAAGCTTAAAGGCCATTAATTGAGTTTGGAAATACATATGGATTCTTTGCTGTTGGCTTTTGTTTTTACTATGTGAAATAAGTTGTACCATCCACAAACTCAACCTCCTCGCTGTCACCCATTCATGAACAAAGAAGATACAGACCTTTTGGAAAAGAACAGTTCTTACATCCCTTTGGAGATGAGTCTTGTTTGTTAAATCCTTGTCTCTGCCTTTTTTTTCTTTAGCCAGTTATTAAAGGAACCTGTTTTACTTTTCTTATGCTTTTTAGGATCCTTTGGTGAAAGATTGAAGCTTTTGAAAGCAGTTATGTATTAGATCATCCATCCATGTGCTGAAATTCTGAAATTATTTGTAGTTTTTGTTTAACTGTCGTCAAATGAACATCCTGAAATGCCAAATGTACTTTTTGACCTAGATCTAGCTTTTATTTCCACTGGGCTCAGTCTATTTCTGCTGTGATCCTACCTGCTTAAAGCAGTTGTGAATTTCTTTCATATGACCAAGCACATTTTGCCAGGGTTAATAAAAATGGATCAGGGAAAGCAACTGCCACACTGTCTTATTGCCTTTCAGTCATTTCAGGATTAACTTTGCAGTGCACTTTGGAAGAGGTTGGATGTTCTACATTCTCTACTTTTTCCTAACACCAACTCAGAGACTTTGAGAATCACGACATGATCAGGATATCAAGGATATGGCTAGATTAATCTAGCAGTGTAGAGCTAAAATAGTATGTGGTTTATGATCCAAGCTAATACTATGTGTCATTTCATAGTGCTTTCAAGTGGTTTGATCAGCCAACTTTTACTATTGATCATGATCTATGCTTATAGCATATTCTTGTAAAGGACAGCCAATTAATATTTTAGCATAACTTCGCGGGATGGATGGCATAACTGGATGTTTAACAGTTTCAGGGTCTCCAAAACCTCTGCAAATTTTAAATATACATTTGTACTGTGGTGATTAGCATACAATAAACACCATGGCAGCTGAATGGATTCTAATATGGAGAATTTAGAAATGTCTATAGACAGGTGGACAATCTCCTGAAGCTTATGTAATGTTGATGGAATATTGAGATTAAAGCTGAGTCTTACAACCATTCTATATCTCTTCTCTCCTGGAATAACAATTATTGTTCATTGCAGGCTGTAACTCTTTGTCCTGTCAATGTCTATCAAGTATACCAAGGATTATCCATCAAGTATTTGTATTTTGGTCACCATGACACAAAATAGATGTTGAGACTCTAGAAAGGCATGATTATGGGGCTGGAAGCTAGAATGTATGATGAACAATTGCAGGAACTGGTTATGTCTAATCTAAACAGATTTCCAATATTTGAGGGGCTGCCACAGAGAGAAATTGTGGGTGCAATATTTTTAAGAAGAGGTTTTAAGATGAAATTGGACAGACATTTGGAATGGTGTAGGGTCTCCTGTTCGTTTGGAAGAGACCTAGAAGATCCAAGGTCTCTTCCAACTCTGTTAAGTGAGCAGAAGTAGTTGCACTGTTAATGGGTTGCCTAGGCCATTCCAACACAAATATTCTAGCATACAACTAGGCAGCTTGAGAAGACATGCTAAAATTTAACAAATTCAACATTCTGTATGTGTTTTTGGCTTAAGCGTGATCACTTCCTTGGCAGCTCCAAATCACTTTAAGGTAAATTTTACTTCATTCTTATGAAACTCTTTGTAGGATTTGAGAACTGTTTCCAGAATAATTTCAAATGTTATATTTTGATACACCATCAAAATTGAGTCATTCATGTGAAAATATAAGGATTAAATGTGCCAGAGAAATGCATACTTCTTTTGAAAAAAAATTAATACAGCAGCCATTTATTACATATTCATTATCTCAGTATTCATTTGTCTTTCAAAGGTCCGGTAAGATGTCATAGACTTGAAATTCAGAAGGATCTTGACAGATCTGAGCATTGGGCCCTAGCTAACAAGATGCAGTGGTGAGAAAAATAAGATACTGCAACTAGGCAGGAAAAACCAAATGAACAAATGTAGAAAAGGTTGTATCCGACTCAACTATAGTAACTACAAGTGGGATCTAAGTCAGTGGTGGGATTCAATTATTTTTACTACCGGTTCTGTGGGCGTGGGTTGGTGGGCGTGGCAGGGGAAAGATACTGTAAAATCTCCAGTCAGAGGTGGTATTTGCTGGTTCTCCAAACTACTCAAAACTTCTGCTACCAGTTCTCCAGAACTGGTCAGACCCTGCTGAATACCACCTCTCATCTCAGTGTCCTAGAGGACTACTGCTTAAGCATGAGCCAGCAGTGTGCTGCATCTGCAAATTTATAAGTATAAACATGGTTATGAATACATGAAATGGATACGAATAAGAAAAATAAAAGAAACAATAGGACAGGGACGGTAGGCATGTTGGTGCGCTTATGCACACCCCCTACAGACCTCTTAGGAATGGGGTGAGGTCAATAGTAGACAGTCTAAGGTTAAAGTTTTTGAGGTTTGGGGAAGAAACCACAGAGTCGGGTACAGTATTCCAGACATTGACCAATCTGTTGCTGAAGTCGTATATCCTGCAATCAAGTTTGGTGTGGTTAACCTTGAGTTTGTATCTATTGTGTGCTCTTGTACAGTTATGGTTGAAGCTGAAGTATTCATTGATAGGTAGGACATTGCAATGTATAATTTTATATACTATACTTAGATCAGACCGAAGGCGGCATAGTTCTAGGTTGTTTAGGTCTAGAATTTCAAGTCTGGTGGCATAAGGTATTCTGCAACGAGTAGAGAAATGAAAGTATTAGACAACCATTTGTCTGGAATGTTATAAGTTCTCTTGCCATGGGCAGGGGGTTGGACTAGAAGACCTCTGTGGTCTCTTCCAGTCCTAGATACTATGTGATTAAACAGAGTTATTTAGTCAAACCATGGCTGTTACTTGATTAAATAATAGTGTGTGTGTGTGTGTGTGTGTGTGTGTGTGTGTGTGTGTGCACATCTGTCATTTGTAGCAGTAATTGGTATACACTTTACCAATTCAGATATTATACATATGAATAAATCTTGTTCAGATATCCAGGGACAGGAATTAATTATGAATACAGTTTTGCTAATGTGAGTTTGTCCCAATGCTAGCTTCATAATGAAGAATGAGATTATCTTTGGAATATGTAGATCTGAATTTCATTCTATGTCCACAGGCTGAAATGCTAAATAATGGTGTATTCTGGATGCATCCAGCAAAACGTGTGTTATGTGTGTTAACTAAAACCTTTACATGTAGCTTTTAAATAACTCTGAAAATGATCTTGACATTGATTATGAAGTATTCAGCACACTTTGAAAAACAGATGGCCATCTTGCAACTTATAGACCAGAGGCAAGAGATATTTATTTAAAGAGTTCTAAAAGTTTAGCATGCCTTTTCTGCTGTAAGTCCTTTCTCCCAGCAACCAATGTTGACATTCCAATATCCCTATGTAGCTTAAGTAGTTTCTGTATTTGTCTGCCTGTTGGTCAACAAGCAGCAGGGATTAAAATCTAACTTTACAAATATAGAAAGCAATATAGGCAGCTTCCAGCTTTTAAATTAGCTTCTTCC